GGTCCTGGAACGTGGTTCAGTCTTTGGGGCCTCACTTTTACTTCAAACCCCCAATTTGAAAGAGAACAGCTTATCAATTCAATTTTTCTCTGTCCAATGTAGGGAAATCCAGAATTCTATTCCTGGGACCAGCAATGTGGAGTAGTAGGCTAAGCTTCCACCTATGGTTTCAGCATTCCTCCAACACATACTGCTCCACTTCTAATCCAGCTCCCTGCTTGTGGCCTAGGAAAGCTCAAGTCCTTTGGTCCCTATATCCACATAGAAGGCTCCTAGCTTCAGACTAGCTCAGTTCTTCTCATTGCAGCTATTTGGGCAGAAAACCTGTGGATGGGAGCCCTTCCTCTGTCTCACCTTCTCTCTGTAACTCTGTCCTTCAAACAAAAAATAAACCTTAAAAAAAAACTTAGGGGCCCAGCATGGTAACCTAGTGGCTTAAGTTCTCACCTTGCATATGCCAGGATCCCATATGGGTGCCGGTTCTAATCCCAGTGGTTCCGCTTCCCATCTAGCTCCCTGCCTGTGGCCTGGGAAAGCAGTTGAGGACAGCCCAAGGCCTTGGGACATGCACCTGCATGGGAAACCTGGAAGAGTTTCTGGGCTCCTGGCTTCAGATCAGTGGAACTGTTCCACTTCCCAGTCAGCTCCCTGCTGATGGACCTGGGAAGAGAACAGATGATGGCCCAAATCCTTTGGCCCTTGCACCCAAGTTGGAGACCTAGATAGAATTCCAAGATCTCGGCTTCAGTCAGGCCCAGCCCAGCCAGTCAACAGATAAAAGAATGAGTTCCCCCCCCCTCTCTCTCTCTCTCTTTCTGCCTTTTAAGTACATAAAACTTTAAAAACACGAAAATATGAAAAACCAAAGTACTAAATATGTGAGTTAAAAGGTCATGTGAATTCTAACAAAATTGATACATATTTTTAATAGTTAGGTTATTAGAAAGGATTCTGCATCTCAGGAGGTGGAAATTAAATTTAAAAGAACACAATCCCCAGCAACAAATCTAGAAATAACTGTCAAGATGGAAAGAAACATTGTTCCTGAAAACCCAGCCATCCCTCAAATCAACTTCCATCTCTGTGAAACCAAATCTGGTTCACCACGAAGCCCCCAAGACAGCCAGGCATGAAATCGAAGGCATTCTGTAAACTTCCTCTACAAGCCCAAGATGCAACCCCCCAGGCCACTGAGAGGGGTAAATTTAATCCAGAATGTCCTTAGGAAGAGAAGATATCAGGAGGTGTATTCTGTCCCTTTTTAACTTTGTAGAGCTTTTCTGCCATAACCACAACTTTCTAGAAAAACACTGTGACCCCAATTCTACCCACCAATGTGGCTCATGCACACACCAATGAGTGAGTCAAGTTACCAGCAACTAGCATGAAGACGGAAGGGACCTCACACCTGGAGCCAAGACAAAAACACACCTCTGTGCTTACAGACTTCAGCTCAGAGAAACAGTGAGCCTGCGTGCTGGGAAACACTAACACAAATGACCAATGACTGGACCATGTGGCGAGCCAGGCCCCAAGCCGAGAGCTTGCTGGTGTGCAGGGTTTCACTCTGTCCCTGTAGCAACCCTCAGAGGTCAGCGTGACTGCTCCCACTGTTTCGAAGGAGACTTCAGGTTTAACAGCATGTCCAGAGTCAAATGACTCGGAAGGCCTGGGCCCAAAACTAGCCTGAACTGTGAATTCTACACATGTGACCTCCCTTTCCCCACCTCCATCTGTGGACAGAAAAGCAAAGCAAAGCAAAGCAAAAAAAACACACACACACACACACACACACACACACACACACACACACACACAGAGTCTGTCTCTCTCTCTCTCTCTCTCTCTCTTAACCAAGACACCAGCTAATGAGATAGGAGGAAAGGTCTCATCTGAGCGGGTTCCCACAGAAAGGTCCAGGCCGAGGCAGCACCAGGAGTCACCAAGAAAACACACAGCTTGTCAGTTCACTGCTTCTTCAGTGCGTGTCCCGAGCAAAGGCCTGGGTTCCGGGAAAAGACCACCAGGGGCTCCTTTATATGGAGTCTGCAGAGTCTTCTGCTATTCTCAACGGGGTTCACAAGACTAATGCAGGCGAATCACTGACCTAGAGGATAGGGTCGCCTCAGCTAGGTTAAGTGCACTCAGAATACGCATAAACTGCTGTGTGGCTTGCAGACAGGTTCTAGACTCACTGGTCCTCAGCTTGCTCAATCCCGAATCAGAAAAACCAAGAGCAATGAAGGGACAGAGCACGGGGAGTCCCTATAGGCTGGGCTCCACTGCCTCTAACAAACACCCCAGAAACGCTGAGCCCAAAAACCTGCGAACAGGAATCACAAACAAAATTACTAACAGTGTAAAATTAAGGGCCCAGCGTGGTGGTACAAGTGGTTAAAGGTCCTCGCCTTGCACGCCCGGGGTTCCCATATGGGCACCGGTTCTAATCCCGGCAGCCCCGCTTCCCTTCCAGCTCCCTGCCTGTGGCCTGGGAAAGCAGTCGAGGACAGCCCAAAGCTTTGGGACCCTGCACCCGCGTGGGAGACCCGGAAGAGACTCCTGGCTTCAGATCGGCATAGTATCGGCCCGTTGCGCTCACTTGGGGAGTGAATCATCGGACGGAAGATCTTCCTCTCTGTCTCTCCTCTCTGTATATCCGCCTTTCTAATGAAAAAATAATAAAAATAAATCTTTAAAAAAAATTAATACAGTTATGAAATTTAAAAAAAGAGAGACCATGGATCATCTAAACCAACATGACTTACACATATTTCTTTTTACATTGCACTGGAAAAGCATTAGTTTCTTCTTTATAATAGTGATAACGATCATCTTAAGAAAATATGCAAAAATTCTAACAGAGTAACACACATTGGGACAAGCCCCTCGGGATAACGAATGTCTTTCGTCTAGGAAGCAGTGATCAAGGACACCCTTTTAAAGAGGCCACATGATTGTTCTAAGAGGAATTCAGAGTAGTAGAACAGCAGTTGGTCACAAAGCTGGATGGAGAGACCAACGCACCTGACCCCCATCAGTGTCTGTCCAAACAACAGGTCTGCTTCATTCCATCATTAGTCAGTACAATCAGTCTCTTCAATGTTCCTTCAAATCCGAATAATTCTTGCCTCCCAACACAGCCAGCTGGGAGATTGCCAGCCACCTCTAGACACCCTCCTTGTATTCAAAGCCAAGATACAAAAGGTAAGTCCCGCATCCCAGCAGCCTTGGCCCCGGGCACTCCACTCTGGGCAAAGGGAGTAGAGCCAGCTTAACAGCTCTGCACTGACACAAATTCCCCCTTGGGCTCACATAGACCAAGCAGTTTCAAAGCTCCAGCTCACTACCAAGAGCCACCTGACTCAGCACTAGGGATTCCTGCATCTCTCACCCTCCCCTCACGGCTACCCCAAGTTTCTCCTTTGCCAAACGATTAAAAGTGCATGAGACAATCGGTGCCTGGAGCTGTGCTTGACATGGCTAGAGTATGATGCCATAACCACAGATTCTTCATGGCACCCTCAGGGGCCAGTACACAGCACACAGGCACTGCAACTGTGTGACCAATCAAATTAAAGCTGGCCTGAGGCTCCATCAGAAGTCCTGGGTCCAACCCACTTACAAGTGGGCTCCTAACTGATCCAGCGTCAGGAGTCCTCCTATTTCCTGAGCCAACGGGCAGCCTGCATCAGCGACAAAGGAAGTGTGTGCACCTGCTTGAGGTAGGGCACAGGCTGCTGCAGACAACCTGAGCCTGACCCGCCGGGACACACCACACTCCTGTGTTCCCTGAACCCCAGGGCCCCGTGCTGCCCTGGCTTTCCAGCGTGGCAGGGCCCAGTTTTTAGAAGCAACAGGCTCAGCGGAATGACATCTCAGGCACTTGACTTCTGGGAGTCTTATTTAAAAGGCCTAGGGTCACTTCTCACCACACAGACTCAGTTGTGCTGCAGCAACCCTCCTCGGCCCTAGCCAAGTCCACAAAGAGTAAGAGCAAAGCCTGAAAGAATTCCACCATCTGCAGGCTTTATCAGCATGCTGTTCGTCAGCATGAAAAGCTGGACTCAACTGTGTCTGAATAGGTAGCCTGGAAAGGCGCGAGAAACACCCTCCCTACCCCAGATGTTCAGCACTATAGCAAGAAGAAAACTTCGACAGTGCAAGTCAAGTGGAATGCAAATGTCATCGTTCCCCTTATACCAAAAAGGGGAAAAAACAAAAATGGTTTTATACAAGGTCTGAGAGTCACTACAGGGACTTTAAACAACTGCTTTTGGGGCCTTCCTCCTCAGGTCTTTGCATTTCCAAGGATAATGAAAGAGGCAAAGAGGAAGGAATGAGGGAGCCAGAGAGAAGAGACCGCCGGGACATGCTCATTCTATTTTTATACCTCGCCTACGATTCGGAGTAAAGGAACACTCTGATTCTGAACTCCCACCCCTGTCACCTTCTGCGCTGAGCACAGTTATCCAAACCTGCATACGTTCGTGGCACTGCCTCCAGATTCGGGGGCTGCCGGCTGCCCAGATACCCAGGAAAAGCGAGCTACGGCAGCACCCCGCCCAGACAACCGGTGGCCCTGGCCAGGCTGGAGCTGCGCACAGGCAGCCGTGGGGGCTCCGGGACGCCCCCGCCCCAGCACCCGCAGCTTCCCCCCACTTCGGCCGGGCACCCGTGCGGAGAGCAGCTCGCCCAGCGCCCGCCCGGAGCCAGAGTTGTGGACGGGACCGGCTCTCCGTCAGGCTGCCGCACGGGGCCCGTGAGTCCCGCCCCGAGACACCTGTGCGCGCCCCGCCCGCGCCGGCGGAGTCCCGGCCATCCGCAAACGCCCAGCAACACTCCGTGACCGAGCGCCCGGGCTCGTCGGACGCGGGCTGCCTCGCCCGCTTCACCAGTCCTTCCCGCCCCGGTGGGCAGAAAAGCATGGACGCGCGTCAGCCGGGGCCGCGGGGACAGAGCCCAGAAGCCCGGGCCCACTCCACCCCACCCGGGCCACTCACTCTTGAGCGCGCTGATAAGAGACTTCCCGTCTTTGATGAGCTCCTTGATGAATTTGTTGGTCTTGTCCAGCTCCGCTTCGTGAGACTTGAGCGTCTCTCGGAAGTGCGGGCTGTCGAGGCAGCAGTCGCTGAACTCGAGCGCCGGGAGCCCCATGGTGTCCGCGGCGCGCAGCCGGGGGCGGGGGGCGCGAGCCAAGCGGCGCCCCGAGCACGCACGCTGCGGGGTCCGGGTCGGCAGCCCCGACGGCCCGCGCGGCTCCACAGGTGTGGCGCCCGCTCAGCCCGCCGCGCGCTGTGGCGCGGGCGCGTCCGCCTCCCTGAGCGAGGGGCGGCTGCGAGGGGCGGCGGCGGCGTGCGGCTGAGCGACGGGGCGAGCAGGAAGCGGCGCGGCGACCCCACGGCGGCGCGGGGAAGCGAGCGAGCAGTAGCGAGCGCGGACGCCGCGTCCCCGCCTCCTGGGCTGGCTCCCTCTCCCGCAGCCTCGAGCGCCCTCTCACAGCAGCCTCAGCCACCCCGCCGGCGTCCGGGCCGCCCGAACCTGCTAGCGATGACCTCATCCCCCCGCCAGGCCAATCAGCGCATTCTCATCAGCCGGACCCCCGAACCCGCCCGGCCTTTCCGCGCGTTTCATCCAATCGGAAGGATCCGGAGGCGGAGCCTGAGGCTTGGGGCGGAGCCACGCCACCGCCTAGGTCCGCAGAGCCGGCTCCGCCCCCTCTCGCCCGCCGGGCGTTGCACACCCCGAAGCCTGGGGGCGAGTACTCCCAGGCTGGGGCTGCTCCGCCAACTCGGGACCTTACCCGTCTGCCGCGCCCGCCTTCCAGGCCGGAGATGGGGTGCTTCTGCTGGTCTTGGCGGGAGACTGATGAGCCTCGAAGTGGCAATTATGAAAAACCTGGCAATTAGGGCTGCAGCCCTTCGCTGCTCGCCTTGCCCTCCCGGGCAACCGAGCTTACGCTCCAAGCGCAACCCTGGCCCCCCGAGAGAACCCTGAGTGACCTCGGGCTCCTCAGAAACTGGTTGCATCTTAAAATCTCCCACCTCTTCTCGCCTGCAATCTTCCCTCCCCCTGCAGTCCGTCCCCCAGCCGGCCACTCCGCACAGCCGCCCCGGGGCCGTAGGATCCCACGTCCTGAGGAGAATTTCAGCCACCCCGTTTTGCACGTCCCGGGCCTGTCCTCCCTTTGGTACGCGGCGGCGCTGTCCACAAGGGCACGAGCCTCCGCAGTCGGCCAGTGCACCCCAGCGCTATACCAGAGGTTGGCGTTGCCTGGGCGAATACTCACGGTGTGCACTGCTGGCTAGAGTTCTTGATAGATACCTGTGGGCATAAATGAATGGAGCCTTTCCCGGGTCTCTGTCGAATTCCCACCCCAAGTATGTGGCGCTGTCGTCCTCCTCAATCCTGGCAGCTGACTCCCTGCACCTGCCAGGCTGGGTACCACAGGTGACTCGTGGGAGAACAGGGGCTGCTGTTGAATGGATTAATTCAGTGTCCAGGAACTAACAGTCCCTCCTTAGGTTGGGTGGGTTTGGCGAGGAGGGAGTGGTAGTTCCCCCCACCCACTTTGGGTTGGATTTTTTTTTTTCCATACATCAGTTTTGAGCAGGAACTAGCCTAGATAAGCCCTAGGTATACAAAGATGAACTGAGTGAACCTGACTGGTTGGGCTCCATGGGAGAGACTGAAGGAGCAGTAACAATTAGCCTAGGAGGCCTGGGTGCTGGAGAACACCGTGCAGGAGCTGGGGTGGAGTCCAGAGACGCCTTCTTTATTGAATCCATACACGACAGTCATCCATTTGTTAGATGTATCTACAAGGGTAGGCTTCCCAGCAGGCACACACAGCTATTGGTTAAATCAACATAACACTGAAAATAGTCACAGACGAGAAAGATCTGGAATGGTAACTGCATGAAAACTCATCTGTGTAACGCTTCAGGTTGAATCCCTAAAGGTAGACTTTCTAGTTGTCTGTTGACACACAGGAAAACAGTATGGTTTAGGAAAAGAGCAATCCTTCTTTTCTCTCATGACCCTTTTCCTTCTGTTTGGATGGCTCTCTCCTGAAGACTGCTCCCGTGGCTGCAGTCAGCTCGTCCCAGGAGCTGGAGCAGGGGGCGATGGACTCCGGGCTTCTCCACGTGGCCTCTCTCTGTGGTCCAGCCTACACTGCCTGCAAGCATGGTGGTCCAGGGCCCGCACAGGCACGTCCTGGCTTGCAAGGGGAAGCTGCATCACCTTGTCCATCCTGCTCTTCAGAGTCCTGCACTACTGCCCCCCTTCAACAGCCTCAAGTCACAAACCCACTCAGATTGAAGGAGCAGGGAAGCAGACTGTACCCCTAACATGGGGGAGTGACAAAACAGGAGACATGATTGTAGCCATCTGTGGAAACACACTCTGCCTCTATAGGTTTAGCACAGGGCAAAGTCGTCTACAAATAGTGAATCAAGAAAACAAAATCCGATCCACAGACATTTGTCTTTATCCCCACTGAGGAAATGAGGCACACAGGTATAAAATAATACACATCTGTATTAATAATACTATAGTGGTATTGGTTAGGCTTAGTTTGAGCCAGGCACTATGCTAGATTCATTACATTCATTTAAACCCACAAGGTGACACTGGTCTGGCCATCAGCCCCCCTTGTCTCAGATGAGCTACTGATGCCTAGAATGTAACCTGAAAGAGGTACTAGCTGCTAAGTGTGGGTGGCACATACATGACCACAAATATGATTTAACAAGTCTCTTCACATACATGCATGTGGACAATGTATAAACCTCTTATAAATCTCATCCAGAATTTCCACAAAAAACTTCCCATGAGTTTAGCAGTGTGGCCAGAAGGGACTCGGCCAGCAGAAGCACTGAGTAATCGGCACCCAGCAATCTCTCCTAGGAAACACGAGAGGCTCCAGAAGAACAGGTAGTAGCAACAGTGGACCAGACCCTGCAAATGTGGCTCCCAGCCTCCTCAAAACAAATGGTCCTTCTGCTGTCTTCCATGGAGTTATAATTCTAGTGAGTACTTATTCATTCTCTTTTATGCTTGAGACCATATGTTGGGTTAAACAGTGATTTCTTTGTATTATTACTGGTGAGGCACAAGTTTTCCTATTTTAAAATAATGATGTGGGGGCTGGTGTAAATGCTATGTATCTCTAATATAGTAACAATTAGGGTTGAACATTTGTCAATACTCATGACTGCATTTTGTTGTGGGTAAGATACATTTCAATAAAATTTGATTTAAAAAGTAACGACCAGCACAATGGCTCAATTGGCTAATTCTCCATGTGGGCACTGGTTTGTGTCCTGGCTGCTCTGCTTCCAGTCCAGCTCCCTGCTTGTGGCAGAGCAAAGCAGTGGAGGATGGGCCAAAGCCTTGAGACCCTGCCCCCGCATGGGAGACTGGGAGGAGGCTCTCAGCTCCTGGCTTTGGATCCACTCAACTCTGGCTGTTGTGGCCATTTGGGGAGTGAGCCAGCGAATGGAGAATCTTTCTGTCTCCACTCTGTGAATCTGCCTTTCCAATGAAAATAAATAAATATAATAATAATGATGATGATGACCATGGCAGCCATGTTGATGATTTTAGTAAGTTTTTGCTATGGAAAGCACCTTATTTCATTTCTTTATGCTAAGCACCTTATTTTATTTTTTCACTTAACACTTACTTGGGAAACAGGTGCTGCTCAAATTCCCATTTTACAGATAAGGAAACTAAGGCATTGAGGAGTAAGGTGGCTAAGGACACATCATTACTGGTAGAGCTAGGCTTAAGAATTCAAATTTATTAAGTAACTTACCATATGCAATGTCCATGTGCAATACTCCCTCTAAATAAAATATATATGCCTGAAAAGTTAGTCAAGAATAACAATGAAACATTTAAAATGAGACCACACATGAATGAATGAGGATTTATCTAATTTTAAGGTACTTATGGTTTTGTTATGTCCTAAATCAATAAAGTCAAAACAAATTGGAGGCTTGTAACATTATTTAACTCTCAGCCTAAGGATACCTTTCATTCCAACGCTGAGTACCTAGCTCTTGTTGCTCTGCTTCCATCCAGCTAACGTGAACTCGGGGCAGATGAGTGTCCAATCATGCGCCCCTGCAACTCACAAAGGAAACCAAACTGAGTTCCAGGCTTCTGGCTCCAGTGTGGCTGAGCCTCGACTGTCACATGCCTTTGGAGAAAAAAAAAAATCCAGCAATTGGAAGATCTATCTTCCCGTCTTTCAAACGAGGAAAATACATAAATAAAAAATTGTAATAAATAAATAATGCTAGGCTTTAAGATTTGTGTCAAAGCAACTGATTAAGCAAACATGAACTCCTCATTTTCCTTAAAGGAGAAAAAATAGCCTAGTCCTATCAAGCCATCAAGTCACATTACTTTAAGGGAAGGGGGAGCATTCACTTGTGCGTGCAAGTCACGTGTGTTACCATATATGTTAACGTCAGCTCATTTTTATTTGTGTTTTTTATCATTGGCTTGTTTCACACCTACAGTTATCCATAATATGCAGTCTCTCTTCACTTATTAAGTACTAATATAACATTTGTTGCCTCCCAGATGTGCATCTATATGCCTTGAAAATATTAACATAATTAATCTCTTCACAGCTCTCTTATGACCCTATCTCTAATTTACTGGGACGGGAATGGCAATGAATCACCCGGGTCACGTAACCACTGAGTGGTCCAGCTGAAATCCCCACTGGTTATTTAGCTTCAGACTTCGGCTCTGTTACTGGCACAGCCCAAACACACTCAACTTAGAAATTCCAGTTCCTTAGGATTCCCTACAACTAGTGGTGGCTGTGTGCCACTGCTCTGACCATTGATATGTAATTGGAAATCTGCTGGGTGGGGCTTTAGAAAAAAAGCTTATTTATTTTTTTTTTTTATAAAGGGAGAGCAGACACAAACCTTTTGCTTATTTCTCTTCTCTATTCTCTATGGCATTGTGGTAGGTGGGTTAAGCCACCAACTGCTATGCTGGTATTCCATATGGGTGTGAGTCCAAGTCAGGCTGCTCCACTTCTGATTCAGCTCCCTGCTGTCTGGGAAAAAAACAGAGCAAGGTCAAGCCCCAGTTGCTGCAGTCATTTGGGGAGTGAACCAGCAAACAGAAAAACTCTATGTATCTATCTTTGCTTTTCAAGTGAATAAATCTTTTAAAAAAGAAAATGATTTCTTAAACACAGTAAAGACGACAAATGCATTTATAAGGCAGAGTGAGTAATAAAAAACAGGTATTTAGGGAAAATAATAATCCAGAATAAACCTATTCACAGAATGAGATGAGACCAAACATAACTGGA